CTACATTGTTGCAAACCGCGTCTGCTTTTCAATTGGAATAGGAAGGCGATAGTTTTCATTTCAAGAGGAGACCAGATTTATTGTACGACGAAAAATATAGTGCATTTATTGCTTTGACGTTTTGAGCATTTTACAGTACCTTAACCGATGCTTATTCTGCATTAAGTACTATTTGAAACGTAAATGGACAGTTTTAAATTTGATTAAGCATTGATGCTGGGTTGTTTTATATCAACGTTGGGTGATATGTATCGTTCTTAAGAATTTAATCTAAATTGTAATATGTTTGTATATATTTGAATGTGATTGTTCCAGTAAGTACTTATTTATGTACATGATTCTGAAGCTTTAACCCTGCGAGGCTGTTTTCACTGGATAGTTCAAATGGTAACGGTAAGGAGTACCTGCGGTCTAATTGTCTAATTGAAAATTATCATTTTTGTACCCCGATTGAGATGATTGGACTGAGTTGAAAGAGCATATATTCTTAGGATATACGTTAGCATACATACTAAAGATATACTCTAAAATACATCCCAGGGATATCCTTGGAATGGATAGCTTGCCGACTTACTGTCCACGATGTACCACAGATATCCTCTAAATAGATGGCCTGAGGATATTCCCTTGCGCCATAATGAGAACATTAGAATAAAAAAAAGAAAGTAAAGTTTTGAACAACTGAGAAGGAAAATACTTAGTTTTTTAGATTTGTGATGGTGTGGGGAGACATTTTATTGGCAACGTTTTTGTGCACATCTACATCTACGTCAGTGTTGTCTTAAAAAAGCACACAACACTGTTCGGCTGAAGCCAATGACGCAACTACTAGCGGTCGTGCCGTGCCGGGCTCGCTCGAGTCTCGTCGGCTTCCCCTCCGTCTCGTCGTCAGCCATATTTTCAAGTTTTTGTTGACGGTATAAGGTATACGGCGTCTATTTTGAGTACTTTGTGTGCTGTGCTTACTGCTTTCAATGGTATTATTATACTGAAGAACTAATAATTCATGTAAGTAAAGCTTTATGGTAATATATAACATACGATTTGATAAATCCTAACCTGAACGAACCATTGTATGTAGCCTACCAACATCATGTTTTGTTTTTTATTATTTATATTATTTTGTTTGATCAATGAGATAGCAAGATCAGGCAGCGACAGCAGTTGTGATTTTGTAACCCCGCTGATTTCAAATGAACTTGCAATGAAGTTTAATTAGTTGGGCATGAAGAAAAAGGGAGAAATTTTTAAATTATAATTGGCCAAATACTTGGTAAGTAGGTATTATGTTTTTTAAAAATAAGTTGGACGCATATGTAATATAAATAAAGTATAAGAAATATAATTTAATAAAAAATATATTATGCTGATTGCTTAGTTGATACCTTTTTTAAAGAGTCGTTACTGAACCTAGTTAAGTTAAAACTGAGTTTTTTGTAACCTATATTATACTTTTTCTTTATCTTTTCTATATCTTTTTTGATTCTAGACTTCTTTTCGTATCTTGTTGCTTAGTTTTTGAAAACAAAAATAAAATCCACTTTCTCTTCATGTTTTTTGAGCAGTTAAATTAAATACAAAACTAAACTAATGTTTTATTTAAGTAAGCAATGTTAGAGAAAATCCCCCAGAACAAAATTATATTTTTAGTTAGATAGTATAGTTAGTATATTTTTTTCTTAAAATGGAAGAAAGCATCACCCCCCCCCCCCCCAAAAAAAAACAAAATATTCATTTTAGGAATCACCATTCATAAAGTACAATTTTCACATTAAAATGGTTATTGGGTTAATTCTCGAAAACATTTTTCCTAGTTGTTAAGGATTGTTTTCATGGTGATATTAAGTATGATCATGAGCAAAAAAAACTAGGAAAATTTTTAGGTTGACAAAAGATATTGCATTTTTTCTCGTTGTTTTTAATTTTTTTTATAAAGTACAGATATACAAATCCTGTCTTTCATCACAAACATCAGAAGAATGTGAGAATTCAATAGCTGCTTGGCTGAAAAAAGCTACTTTCATCAAAGAATGACAGGAATTCTGTCAAATATTACTTATTCTTTTAGAGTTTTGTTCAAGATAAGAGATCTTACTCCGTATGTAAGATATCTTAAGTTAAGTTGTTCTATATCTTTCCTATATTATATACCTACAGTTTTATCATATCTACAATAGAAAAAAATCAGATATGTATAAAATGGTTTTAATATCGCCTGCTATTCACTGATGATTTCACCAATCATACCCAATAGGTTAATGCGAGTACCCAATACTAGAGTAGAATATTTGTAGTCGTACAACCAATTGGACTCCTGCACATTACCTTTCCAGAATTTCTCAAAGGCTGTTGGAAATAACCTAATAATTGAGGAAGGTCCACTGGGGTATATGTATATAAGATCCTATATCCTCACAGTCGGATATACTAACGACGTCTCAACTAGTATAACTTAGTATGTTCTGACAAAAATCCTACGGACATACGTATCTGATATACTGTAGACATTCCAATTAGTAACATCGTATATCCTTGAGATGTCTTAAGGATGTCCCTTAGCTGTCCCGCCAGATATCCCTATGACGTTTTACGTACGTCCTTGTGCTATTTGGGTAATGGCGGAGTTGATCATTGAGCTAGGTGACAGTAGCGACAGTGACGATTTTTTAAGTGACTGATACTATTATTATTATTATATTTAATATTATTTATATAAATAATGATACTATATAGAAAAGTAATAAATGGTTACTTTGTACTCATTTTTTTATGTACATAACTACTCGGTAGGGTGTTCTATAAGGGGCTGCGGTTTTGGAGTAGTAAACAGCAGGCAAAGGTAATCACGGGGTCGTTTGTAAAGACACTATATTTCTGGTCATAGTATACTGCGTCGTAACTCAAAATCAAGTAATGTTTGCTTGTTTTGAGCAAGCGTAAAATAAAGCTGATACTTCTATATCGTCCTATGGTAAAAATTGGAACACACATTTCAGAACCTGCTTAGCTTATGATATTTTGGAAAAACAAAATATTCTGGTTCTAATAGAACCATTTTTAATCTGTGATCATCCCCTTGTGTTGTTGTTGTTTTAAATTGTAATGTAATGGTGATTGTCTATTAGTTTAAACTAATCCTTTATCGCTGTATTTTAAGTAATAACGGAAATTTTAATGTTGACGATAACATGCCTTTCACTTGTAATTGAATGTTTTTCCATATATTTTAGTCTTCCTGATGAAGCCTATAATCCTGGGCGAAAGCTTGAAGCATAAGAATAAGGGCTAGTTGTGAAAAAAGCATCTAAGATCTTTTATTGCTTAACTCTAACCTAAAAGAAGGGGAATCCCAGTGTTACGTATTCGACTTGCTTATATATATATATATATATATATATATATATATATATATATATATATATATATATATATATATATGAAATCATAAATGATCATACTCCCAAGAGTTTTTAATTAGAAAAAACATTTTTTGATGGTCATAAATATTAACTTTTTCTATGGATTCATAAAAAAAATTCTCAAATTAAAAAATGGAAAATTTCATTTTTCTCCAAAACTGTTCGAGGTTTCGTATGCAATGTAACGACAAAATATATTCAAAATCCAGCAAATAATTAGAATTTTTGAAAATATTCATAGTATTCCATTAAAAAAAAAAGTTGCTTACCGTCCTGACAAATCGAACCTCCCTGTATGCATAACTAAGTATATGAGCATCTTAAATGGACCACTCTGTATACAGCGCAGGACTCAAGACCATTTGATTGATCACCCAGTTTGTAAGAATTGAACGATTTTTGTGAAAACCATGTTGATTTGGCTCTATGTCATTTTATACCAGGGAAAACAAATTCGATTAAATTGGCAAAGTGATATAAGGCGATAATTTCCGGTGCCTGTATAATTACCAGTAGTAATGTTGATGTCCAAGCATAAATACAAAACTTTGGTTTTCGCGTGGTTCTATTCGGGCAGTTAGAATGGTACTTTGACTATGTGTCTGTTTTTATACTGCTACGTTTGTTTTTTTTTTTGTTGCACATTTTTAGCAAAATTCGAAAAGGAATTTCTCTTGATTTTAAACAAGAATTCCAAAAATGTAGAACTATATAGGGTGTTTAATTTAAGATAACAAAGTTGATGTCCAAGATACTTTTGTAGGAAACTTTTTTCGTATCTCCTTGTACGTATCTCTAGGTGTGGCGCTCTCCTAGCTTAGCGATGTCAACCAGCTTCAACAATAAATTATTAGAGAGAAAACACAGAACAAAAAATTTCCAATAAATTCGAGAAATCTCTGTAAATTCCAAACAATGTTCTAATTCCTGGCCAGCTAAAGAGAACTAGCTTTCTAATCTTGAATGAAAAGGCCCAATGGCTCAAAAATTAGAAAAGCATGTTGCAATCACAACTAACTTTTTATTAATATGGTCTTCTTAATTAAGAAATATAGTCATAGTCATTAAAATTTTGCATGTTTAAGAATTTATGAATAAAATACTATATTAGTATATTGTGTTTTCTCGGTGGTAGAAAAAGTGGGTCTCCATAGAGTTTATTGGTATTTCTAGTTCTTTGCGTTTGCCTTTTTTGTGCTCGTCCTAAGCGCGCAAGATTTAAGTTAAGTTAAGAAAATAACATTCAAGGACCGGGCCTTGAAGGCAATAATCCGAAATATACGAAACAATTAAAAAAAAAAAATCAATATTTTAAATTCGCGGAAACTTCTAAATTTGATTTGAACTGTTTTATGTACTATCAGCACGTGCAGAACTAGCACTTGCAGACACTATTAGCAAAACTAGATTTTACATCCCTTTGACGTATCCCTGCCTCCATGTCCACACTTTTAATTGTGATTACACTTGAAAAATGAAATTTTAATGAACCCATCACGATTTTTATATTAAATTTCATCGAATACTTAAACTTTTTCCACGTCTTTCTACTAAAATAACTAAGATTTAATTTTAACTTACCCGATGACACTTATCCAAAATTAAAATAATCCATTCTCGGTGGCGTAAACATCCGCGGTCACAAATCACAAAAGTAGTCACGAATATCCGAAATTGTTGGAGTGACAGCTTCCCGATGCAAAACGAGCGGTTCGTTTGGATTATAGCGACGTTCCAAGCGAAGAAAATTTTCCGGAGCGTTCGAGTATCGGTCGACACCGGTTAGAAATATAATCGGCGGTTTGTGGTATCTACTGGCAAGCGACCACCTGTTCAGACTGGCCACTCTTACGGGAAGCCTCGGATGGATGAAAACCACACAGGTGGAGGAAGCCTAATATGCACACATACAGAACGGAGACGCCAAAAACCGACGACGACGCGTACAATTTTTTTTTGTACTAGAAATTCTTCGCTTGTTGAACTACGACCGGAATCCTGCATCTGACTGGAATCCTGCAGACGTTTGTGAAATCTTGGCGAAACGTCTGCAGGATTCCAGTCGGAGTTCAACAAGCGAACGGATGATATCCCGGAATATTTTTTCAACATATATATACATACATATACACATACGATTAGATTAAGTCTACAGTAATAAGAGGTATACTAACGTAATACATAATATATAAAAACAAACGGAAATAAAAATGAAAAAACACCAAAACCAAACAGTGGCCACTATCAAGAATCGGGTAATCAGGAGTATCTTCTCTAGTAGCATAGTAGCTCGAGACGTGTTTGATATTTTAAATGTAGAATCATACATAACTTTTTCTAAAATTTTGGAAACTACCAGACATTTCACTTTTCTTATAGGTTGGCACAACTTTAGACACTTTAGAAACGGATATATTCCAATGAGGAAATATCCATTACTAATCCTGCTGTCCAAACAATAAAAGTCTAGAGCTTTTGAATTATTCAAGGACGGTATGACCTGCGTGAAGTGGAGAAACTAGGGAAGATTCGAATGAGGTTTTATCAAGTCAGATGGCCCAGCAAAAGTTTCATCCAAAGTTTCTAATATTTTATGCGCTACTGTGGTAAAAAATATGTTGAGTCAGAGGATAAATCTTTCGTAAAATTATACTAATATGTGCTACACCTCTCGGTGTTAATTAATTGCCAAGAATCATTGCTTTTATTTTTGGATAACTGTAAATAGTTCGTATAAACCAGTTTTCTTGTAATTTTTATTTTATTTTGACACTCCCTTTTGTACTTTGCTCTCTTTAACTGCCTGAGATGCGAGTATTGTGGAAGTGTCTAAGCAATTTGGACGACGATTTGAGATGTGGGCATGAAATAAAATGAAACAAAATTAAAAAAAAATTAATATGTCACTGAGCGGTTTTAATCGAGTGTTAATATAAAAGGAATGGCCAAAGGTGACTAAGTAGAAGGTTCTTTAGGTAAAAATATTACGATTTAACGCAACTTCCCTAAAATTTGAGAAATCAGGGTTTGAGAAATCGGTGCATTTGATACTTGCTCGCTTTTTTGCCGCTTAGTGAATGCAGATTTTTAATGAAGATATCACTTTTGACACCTTTTTTACCCCAAAAGAAACTTGATTGCTATCGATTCTACTAAAGAAAAATTAGTTACATGCAAGTATTTTAGTTTTATCGAAAAAAATTGTATGTCCGTTTTCGTAGTTGTGTTCAGCAATTGCTGAGTTTATTTGTCTTAGTTTTAAGGCACTTTCATGTTCTCTCCAATGTATTCTTTGCCGCATATGCCTGAAATCCTGTAATCTCCTGGCATCTCAAACGGAATTTTTTATTTGACGGATCGAAGATGTTGAGAGATTTTTGGACAAGTGGTAAATCTGGTTTTGACGTTGTATTTCTTAAGAACTTTTGATATGTTGTCAGTGAAGTTTTGAATATAAGAAATAAGGACATTAAATATATTTAATGTGGAAATTATTCGAGAGAAAAGTAGAGGTAAAGTGTTTTAATTCTGGATACAGTGACTCGGGCTGAGATAGTTTTACTGCTTTATAAACAAGAAAGTTGATAACCGATGATTTTTGGGACTGATGCTGATGTGACAATGCATTAAGGTATCGGCCTGTATGAGTAGATTTTCTGTTGATAATAATATCTAAGAATGGGAAGTTATTATTGGTTTCTAATTCAAAGGTATGTTAGAGTGTATAGGGTTTAAATGCCTAAGAAAATGTAGAGTTTTTTACGTAAAAAAACACAGAGTAAAAACAATATTTTCTTATGTTCGTGTTGTTTTGCAAAAATGTACACAAAAACTAACGGTCGTTAAAATGTATAATATGCAACCCGTGACTAAATTGAAGTTTACTGCACTTATTTTATACCTATTATAGTTTTTAAAACAAATATACAGTTTTCGTATTTGCATATTTCTTCTAAAATCAGTAACATCAAGATATTTTATTTAAGATGAGATATTATTAAGATTATTTATTATATACTTATTATTTCAGTGCAAGCGTCTGATCCAACAGAAAATAACGTCTACAGCGTGAAACCCGTTATAAGGTTTACTCAAAGTTCTTCGAAGATTAAAGAACTCGATCTAGTAATTCCACTATATCATTGTCTACCACCTTCAAAGCTTAATTGTTTTCTACATACATTTAAAAGGTTACCAGCTCTTATAAAAAAAGACCTAAAACGGCCTGAACAACGGCCTCTTGAATTCGAAGTAACTAGTATGGCTTCCTGTCGTGAATGGAACGCACACATACCAAGCGCTCTCGTAAGTTATCCAGCCACGCTACTATTTACAAAATATCGGAGAAATTTCTTGCAGGAATTTCTTCTGCAACAGATTCACTAATGCCTACTGAGGTTCGAAAACAGCACCAGTTAGTACCGAGTTTTCGGTCTTAGAACTTTACAGACTTGCACTGACAAAAAACTGGCAGTAAATGAACAAAATTATTACTACTAAAATGTATCTTTCACGTGTTTTTACTGAATGAATTTAAAACAACAATAACCTTGTAAAAGCAGTTTTAATATTTTTATAAATTTACAAAAAATATTGCCAATATGAAAACTATATTTTCGCTTTTAAAAAACACAATAAGTATAAAAAAGCATATCTTTAAAATTTTATACATATTTATGACGATTTTCTTTAAAAAAAAGAACGTTTGCGCTAAAATGTATTTTTTTAAATTAAAGTAATTTATGCTTAATTTATTGCTTTAAATAAGTTAATTTAAATTTAGGAAAATTATTTATTTTACTAATATATTCATAAAATCATTTTATAATCAATGTTCCTAAAAATAGCTACAAAATGAATAAAAATCTTGCATAATATCTACCTAGGGCTCAATGGCAATGGCAAATATAAAAGTTGTGAAGATTATCGGAATGTACAATTTGAAATAATGGGTGGCTCCAAATAAAATATACAAACATACATTTCGTTTTCAATTCGTTTTGAAATTCTTCGACTTTTTTTATTAATAATAATCGATAGCTAAATCTAATTGGTTTTTCAATACTGTTCTGAAATGTACGTGTTTTCACAGTTGCAAAAAAATTACGATTATATAGTATAATATTTGTTTTTTAGTAGCTCGATTAACTAATGTTAAAATAAATAGTAAAGTATTTAAATTGTTGTGCACTTGTGGCAACTAGTTTTTTTTTTAATTAAAACATTGGAAATACTACGCATTATTATTAATACATTTTTTTTGAATTCAAAGCAAAAATTAAAATTATATGCACGTATGTACACTTACAAATAATTTTAAATTGTGGATCCTAATAATCCTAGCAAGTTTTGAATTTACCATTTCCCATAATTTTTAAAACCAATGAGATAATCAGTGTTCACTATATCGTTAACTCTCCTTGTTGGTTAATTTATTGGAAATCATAAATTTAACTAAATATTGGAAAATTGCTCCTAAAGGGCTACTCCAAAAAATATCAATGTGCCATATTTAATTTAATATTCTTATCTCAGTTCAAACTCATCATTATTTTTTCTTATAGGTTGTTATAACTTTTTTTTGCACGATACAAGTTCAAAGAATGCCTTAGCTAAATTTAATTAGTCAGAAACATTGCTGTCAAAGCTAAACAAAATTTTTCACGAATCACTTCAGTAAAACCCTGTCGAATGGTATGCTTTTTAGAAAAATAATTGTAAAACTTTTGTTATACTCGGTAATTTTCGTTTACTTAATTTTCTACATGAAAAACCAACCAAATAAATTTTCTTTTCGGCCATTTTACTGATAATAATTGAAATTACTGAGAGCTTTAAAGAATGACAATACACAATAAATTCTTAATATATGTGTTGCAGATACTGATAATTTGACAACTGTACCGTATGATCTAACATAATTAGTGCTGCCACCTACACTACGTAGTGACAACCACTTTCAAACTTGACATCCATAGAAATAAAACAGTGACTATTAATTAGGATAAAAATTTTGAGAAATTATGTAGATAAAAAATTATCAGAAGCTATTTCTGAAAAGTTCTTTTAATGATAATCATACTTTGTTCTACGGTTTTGGAAAGCTTAAAGACTTAACTTTAACAATATAAATTGGTCTTTTGTAGAAAATTGCGAACATTATATGTAAATTTAATTTTAGTGAAAACGAATTTTTCCCATGTTAATTAAATGGGAAACTAAAATAAAAATAGCAACCCCTTAGAGATGAGTAACAGCTAAAAAAAATAATTTTTTCCTCGCTTCTTACTGCGCAGCAAATTTCAGTGGGAGATTGGTGATTCCATGAATTGAGTGGCAACAAACTTTTCGAGTTGTGTGGTAGATGTATACCGATTGCAGTGGAATAAGTTCATGAAACAATGTTTGACAATGGTCTGTATATCCTGTGCTGCACTTACCCAATCATTAGAGTGAAATTACTGATTAGGTTTGGTTAGTTTTTGTTAATTTTGATGAGTTTTTGCTAGTTTTGGTTAGTTGTTGCTACTTTTGGCTAAATTTGGTTAGTTTTTGCTGGTTTTGGTTAGTATTGGTTGGTTCATGCTAGTTCATGTCAGTTTTGGTTAGTATAAGCTAGTTTTGGGTATCTTTGGTTAGATTTTGCTGGTTTTTGTTAGTTTATCCTATTTTTTGTTAATTTTGATTAGGTATGGTTAGATTTCAAAAACTTTCGAAATCATAGGGATATTTCGGATCAACACTTTTACTTACGAACTTTACCTTAACAACAAATGAGATTGATTGTAATAAAACTTATGGGTAGTGGAATTTTTTCAGTGGAATCATTAATAAAAAACAACCCGTCAGTTTATAATATGCATGTATTTACTGTATTTACACACGTACATTCTAAATAAATCCAAAATCTACGTGCTAACAAACGATTTTTTTCTTAAATGGCACTAAATAAAAAATCGTCACTTGATAAATAAAAAATGACGCCGACAAGAGATGTTTAAAACAAAAAACGCTAAATTTTTCACACTACAATACTAACAAGCACCAAATTAATAACAATCGCTAACGCGGTATTTGGTACATATATATGCTATATGATTTTAAATAATAATTTGTAACACGTACATTAAGATAGCTAAATTTACGAAACTATGCATAGCGTTGTTAATAATTATTTTGAGCACTTATTCCATGAAATTTTACTAAATGTTTTATGGAATCGATTAATTTATACCCAAATTTGGCATAAATATTGTCTATAAATTGCTTATTTCTTATTACAGAATTAAAATTATTGAACCCCAGCTGGGTAATAATAAAATAGCTAAGGACTCCGTTGTTGTTGTAATCGGTGACGTGGTCGACACGACAAATGGAAAACTTTCGTGTAAGATTCCACCGTGTACGTCCTGAAACAATAAGAAATAAAAGAGATTTTAAATGTATGTCGCAATGTCTGTTACTTTTTCTTGTGTTTCAATGGTTCTTAGGACCATAATTAGGGGAAGCAGGACTATTTCGCTCTAGATTGAATCGTATTAAACAACTACTTTGTGATCAAAAGCATTTGATTCAAAGGGTATCGCTTATACTTTTTCTGTGACGTCCAAGGTTTGATACTTGGAAGCTTAAAAATCCTTACAACAAATTCGATTTATCATGTTATTTTTTTATTTTAATTTTTTTTAGACACATGTGGGTAAAAGGTCAACGATATCTAATAATCCTGCCATATTGTTGAGCAGAAAATGATTTTTGGTTTTAGTTTAGTAAAGATTTTAAATCGTAAAATGCGTCGCTTTTGACATCAGGATTTTTAAGATATCAATGAAAAAGAGCTATTGATGATATAGATTGAGTCGTATTTGACATCTAATTTGTGATAAAATGCATTTGATTCAAAAGGTATTGCTTATACTTTTTCTTTGACGTCCAAGTTTTTATACATGGAAGCTTAAAAATCCAAACAACAAATTCGAATTATTTTGTCTTTTTTTTTTTAATGCATCACTCTCTATACAATTTTTTTGAGGAAATTATATATTCGTTCTTTTTATCTGGCCATTGATAGATTCTAAAAATAATCTCTATTTAAATTAAGGCAGAACAATCCTGGTAATTTTTAGACTTTCAAGGTTTAAAGAAATTAAAGGCACCTTCCACAAAAACTAAACTAAATCTAAGACGTATTGATTGATAGACCAAGACAATAATCGTTGCAAATAAAGAACGTCTAAGGAAGGATCCTGAGAAATATATTCGGCCTAAGCAGGAAGCAAGCAACAGGATAATACCGAATGAAAACTGACCAGGAGCTCGAAGAACCATGTCTAGTTGGTAATATAATGAACAAAGTAAAGGCCAAGAACAGAATGACAAAGCTAGTATATAGAATTACGGTTTGTGAAGCCGCGCAGAGAGTGAGAGATAAATGCTTTATTTCTTAGATCACCCTGTTGTTAGAAACATTGATATAAAAAGCTGAAACTCGTTTGTATTTGCGGTAGCTGACATCTATTTGACTGGTCGATTGTATTTGAAAATTAAATTGTAATTTTTGCATATGCAGTGTATAAGAACTCACATAATGCACATTTGTTTTAAAAAAAACGAAAATTAAAAAAAAAAGCATTTTGATTTAAACAATTATTTCGCTACATATGACTCATTTATCAATATCTGTCTTCAATTGTGTTATGTTCATGTTGACTTTGCAATGCATTCTTTGCCGTATATGCATGGATTGCCGTAACCTTCTGATACTGCAAACTGATCGAAGATGTTAAGAGATTATTGGACAAGTGTTAAATCTGGTTTTAACGATATATTTCTTAAGAACCTTCGACTGTTTTACTTTTTACAAAACTTGTAGATTCCTTCTTGGACGGGTTTGCTCAGTAGAACTAGCTGACGTCAACCATTCTGTTGGCTTCTTCAGAGCTTGACTGAAACTGGCTCGCATTTTACTCTGCACCTGCTTATAGTTTGTTTGAGGGGATGACTGATTCCCATATTGGTGACAGGTAGAGAACTGATTTTTCGGTTGGTAGAAGAATTCCAAGAATTTTAATTTTATCAAATAAAATTTTATGGCCGGTTTCCTGATTGTGTTCGGCAACAGCTGACGAGTTTATTTGTCTTAGTCGTAATGCTCTTTCATGTTCTTTGAGCCTAGTTGATATTTTTCATCCGGTCTCTCTCATGTATTCTTTGCCGCATATGCATGGAATGCTATATACTCCTGACATCTCAAATGGAATTTTTTCTTTGACGGACCGAAGATGTTTCGATTAAAATGAGAATTTTTGGTTCCAGATTCTCGGATTTTAATATATTTGAAATGATGTTTCAAATATATTATAGAGTTTCAGGAGTAGAAACTTTGGTAAAGAGGGATTCTACGTCGAAACTAACTAGAATATCTTGTGTATCTGATGTAATGCTTTTTAATTGTTCAATGAAGTGAAAGGAATTTAGTGTGAAACTATCAGCTTTCCCTGTAAGGGGTTTTAATAAGGAAGCTAGAAGTTTGACTAAGGAAAACCCGACCCGGGAGGAATCCAGAAGTTTTGTAAAAAGTATTACAGTAGTCTGTGGAAGTTTCTATCAAAAATCTTCGACTCTTTTGTTAGGGAAGAGTGTATTTTGTGACGGAAAACTTAATATCTCTAACATGGAATTTGCTGGGGAAAGAAACGTATTTATTTATATTAATATTATAATAAATAAGACTGTTATTGATCAGGATTGTCATTGGTAGAACACAGAAGCGTCATAAGGCTACAGAAATGAAACCTTTTTGTCGAAGTGCTTTATCGTCTGTGACCTCGCCCATTGATTTGGGCACCCGTCACTATGACAGGTCCCGGAGTCATCCCACGGGCTTCGTACATTCCCCGAGGTACTTCAGACCTTTCCAACTCATCACCGGATAAGTCCAAGTCCTGCACCATTTGCATAATTTCCCTCTCTTTCTTCAGGTCCTCCCTATCTTCCACCTGTAACACAATATTACACATTTTTTAATTAAGATTTACATTTTTTCTACAGTTTTCTATAAATTATTTCGTATTTAAACTCTTTTCTATAGTTTTTGACTTTACACTAAGATATAAATACTAAAATACTATACTAAAAATACTAATACTAAAATACTATAAAAGGTGTCACTTGGTCAAGGTTCTTGGTTTGGTTTAGATGGGCCTTTTTTGTGACACGGGGTTGCTAAACCAGACAAAAAGTCAAAATAAATAAGAACTAAAAGTTCAGATTTTCACGAAATTATATATTATGACATGACAATTGTTTCGACAACACCGTGTCTTTATCAAATCTTTATCACATTTGATAAAGATTTGATAATGTTGGTCGAAACAATTGTCATGTCATAATATATAACTTCGTGAAAATCTGAACTTTGAGTTCTTATTTATTTTGATAAATGGATTTTCATCAAGTAAAAGCCACCTCAGTTCAATTTTAGACAAAAAGTCACAAATAATTTCTAGTGATTTTTAATATCTTCACCACATTTTAGTCGTTATGTAATGTTTTGCTTCTTCAACCCTTTTTGAAATTATATTCCTTTATTAGAAAAGCTTTAAATTGATTAAAGGATTAGCTAATTTAGCCAATTAATTAATGTAATCTATTATTTGAATTATATTATATTAAAAAATAAAATTTTTAAAGTGTTTTGGATTTTTTTCCTTAATTCACGTTTTTGCCAAACGTTATTCATCTGGCGGTGTATGGAAAAAAACATTACCATGGTGAAAAAAAAAATTTCACACCAGTAAAACCTGTTTCTTTTTTTTATGAGGAACTGCAAAAATATTATATTGGTATGACTGGTTACAACCGTCTTTATTCTTTCGGGCTGGGCTTCCAATTTTATGGTTTGGGATAGAAGATATGCAGAATGCGTTATATGTTTTGCTAAAAATTATTAAATTAAATTAAATTACGAAATTGAGAAATGAAAAACGTTTGTAAAAATTTTAATTTACCTTATCATGTGCTATATCGTTAGAATCACAATCATATGTTCTATTTACCAAAAATGTTAGTTTTTTTATGCCAGCAATGACAATTGTGAGCTATTTTATTAGGAACAAAATTTACCATATTCTGCCACTATCAATAATTCGATTTACAACTACTGGAAAAAAAAATTAAATAAGGTAAGCAAAATAAATTAGTAAAAAATATACCCTCATTACTGAAACATGTTCCTGAAATTGTTGAGAAGGTAAAAAATAAATGTTATTGATTAATAAGAAATGTCAATCTTAAATTTCGGTTATACAGTCGAAACTCTATATAGAGAAATTGAAGGAACTGCTTTTTTTTCGTTATAAATGGTTTTTGTTATAGAGAGTTATAGGTACTTGAAAAATAACAACACGCATATGTGTTCTGTAATATTTAATTATTTTATATACATATTTTAACACCTATTTGGGAACATTTCATATAAATATTTAAGAACAGCATTTAATGTTTCAAATAATCGGTCATTTCCTTTTTGAATTTTTTTAGTATGCCAATACACATCTAGTACTTTGGCTTGTATTTTCACTATTTTTTCGAGAGGGGCCTTGTAAGCGACCGGCAAATGCTTGATGTTCTTAAAATATCGTGAGTTAGTTGTATACTTAGCTAGAACTATTTCTATTTTAAAAATCTTTTTTTTTTAATAGCCATTGACAATTACGAAAAACTAAATATGGTTTTGGCTAGAGCTTACAAGACAGCAATTATTTTCCCATTTAAACTGTTTTGTATCTGCTAAACATAAAACAAAATTTACCTGCCGCACATTATAAAACGTGGTGCCGAAGTAGTATTCGAATGCATTGTATTCAAATAAAAATACCACACGTGAGTCGTAAACAAAACAATACAAACGTACCTCTCCGTTGGGTATGGGACTGGCGAACTTCAGATTGGCCAAGCTGCCGTAACTGCGGCTTCTGTGTTCCTGTCTTATGGAATAAGAAAACGCTCTCTCGTTCAAATGCCCTTTCTTCCTGTAGATGCCCGTGTTAAAAGGGCTTTCGTCCGACATCAAGTTGGGGTCGTCCAAGCCGTTCATGCTTTGCGCAAGTTTTTTGTTCATTCTCGTTTGCTTTTCCGCCGACTTCTCGCGTCGCTGCCTCTGCTTCCCTTCGAGCGAATAATAATAACAATAATCTTTATTTTCCAAATCGATTAAGACAACGTTTGTTTAAGAAATCGTGAAACCATGAATAATATGAAATGGCGCATAATCCAAGACTACAAGAAAAGAAATAGATACTCTAACTGAAGAACCCTTCTTCAGCGTACATACATTTCACAAGATATTCGTTAAACTTTCTTTAATTGATCCAAAATTATCACTTTCTTTCAAGGTTACATATTCTCTCTCTCTGTTCTTGTATACGCCAAGTGTTTTTGAAACACCTATTTCATTTCAAGCACACTATACAATGTCAAAATATTAATTTTCGGTAGTTACTCACTTAACCTTCTACTACTGTGTGTATCAATAAATCGTTTTAAGTGAAATATGAGTTTGAGGCTTTTATGAAGATCGATAAATTGATGTTTTAATCTATTCATGTTTTTCTTTTAGTACTTTACATGTTTTTTGTTTTTATTTTAGTACACCCCGTCTTTGTTTTATTGACAGTTCTCGGGTGTATTTACGAGACTTTAAAAAAGTAATGTACGATTTTATAAAACCTACTAAAAAGTTGTACAATAGATTTATCAATTTGACTAATGGAAAATTTTCTGAAAAAGAGTTCGAATTACTAGAAAAGAATGTAAGGTTCAACTTATGTTTTTTTTCTTAAACAATGTAGAAAGTATCAAACATAATCCTCTGAGTAAAAGATTTCTTTGGTGATATTGATACGTAGATGAGGTTTTTACTTGTTTCAATGGAAAGACAACTACGGTCCCTTTTGAATTAGAGACGAAACTGGCCGACCCTTAAAACTTTTCCATTTAGCATCCTCACAAACCCAAAATGCTTAACTTTTATTTTTTTATCCACAATTTTGATAAAGAATTAAATATTATAAAACAAATAGCATTTCACGATTGCTAGGACCCTTCTTTAACATACAGGATTATAATTAAAAAGAAATTTCAAATAACTCTGAACTATATCTAATAATAAACCCGAACCCAACATTTATAAAATAATAAAATATGTGGCAAGGAAATTTCGAATCATCTATCTAAATTTAGTCTTAAAAAGAATATATTACTACCTGTTTCTATATATAACGATATGGTGTTGCTAACACAGATATCATAAACCATTAAACTGTGAAAATCTGAACGTTTCTTGTTCTAATTTAATTGCGTTAAACGGATTTTTATCAAGTAATAGCCATCCCAGTCCAGTACTTTCTTTTATTTATGGATTACTTTTAACTATGCATGTTTTACACCATTCTGTATATTCACTCCAGCCATTGTCAAGTTCTCTCTACTTCGCGCTGTTTTTCGCAAAGTTTAACATATTTTTGGTATTATTTGCTTAAAGAGGGTTGGGAAACTTTTGGAACTGGAATGGCATCATTTGGGTTATTTAAATTTTCACCCTTTTTAATTGTTGCTAGACTCATATAAGTAATTACTAATAATTAAACTTAAAGTAATCGTAGGTTTTTTTTCTTTTCTTAAATAAAAAAACTGTCTTTAATTCATACCAGCAGTTTTCTAATAAAAAATTAAATAGTGTGCTATTTAAATGCGGACTTATTAATATACTTCCGCTACTCACCCTGACTTTCCATGGTAGCGTATTGCTGCATCAGATAGGCCTCCTGTGGGAAACTGACTGGAGGATAATTTGCTACCGGACTTAGGGTTCTGCCGTTGGTGATATATATCGGTTCCTCCGGTGGAAGGCTCTTGTGCTTTTTCCTATTCTTCATCAGCGTCGAGGGTGCCGGAATAATCACCGGACCCACGGGAGGTCCCGGAGGTATCATCGGCACCATCGGAGGTGGGATAGGTCTGGCGGGTATCAACATCTTTCCTCTGGGCCGGTGTGAAAAGGTATTGCCATGTTTGAAGAACTTTGGGTTCGGTAACGTGCCCATGGGCGGCTGGGACATAATGTAGATAGGTTGCGGACCCGCAGGTATGTGCATCGGTATTTGCCTCGGTCTCATTAAAGTCCCCGCCACGCTGCTCGCCTGCAAAATGGCGTAAAAATTAAAGGGCGATCGGTTAATAGTTGAAACCGTACTTTTCCGTTCATCAGAGGATGGTACAAGTCCTCTCTCGAGCCGGCCAGGGATTTGGACTGAGATTTGCTCTTCTTTTTCTTCTCTTTAACCGGCGGCGGTGGCACCGCCACCGGCTGTGCTATTTGACGGGGCCTGGAAGGTCTGCTGATGGTCGACGTAGCATAGACGTCGTAGATGCCGTCCAAATTGTCTTGGCTACCGGCCCACACCTTGATGGACAAAGAATGACACGATCAGAACTACTGACAAGACGGTCAAAAATGCTGGGAAAAACTTCGCTATCGATTAAAAACAATTAAAAAAGAACAACGAACTTGGTTCTTGTTACCCAAAATAAAAATCTTTTTGAGCGGGGGTTTACCTGTAATGCGACTTAAATGTTCAACATTTGGAAGAGCATTTTTAAAAACATTTATTACACGAAAAGCCAAATAAAGTTTTATTCGTCGATACAAAGGCTGGAATAATTAAGAGCGCGATATCAGCGAGTTGTTATCTTCGCTTAGCTTTGGTCTTCGTCTGCTGTTGTGGCATATAACTCCTCTCTCCTTAACTTTCGAAAATAACGGAACGTTTTTTCCAAACAGGTTCAAAATTTTCTTTTGGCAGGTTTCCTCTGGTTTGGATGGTGTTTTCTTCGTTTTTCGTCCCTTTTCCAAGAAAAGCTGCTTAATTATGAAAACTGAAATTAGACTTATTTGGAACGTATTTTTCTCTTAGCTGGTATATTGGGTCCATATATATTTTTGGTAGACTAAGAGTAGTCAGGACTTTCATTGCGTTCAATTCCGTTAACTGGATTTTTGGTAAAACGAGGGGCTTTCCGAACTGGATTTTTACATCCTTGAAGAATGTTTCTCCATTTATTTCTATTTGACAGTTTACTCATTAATTAATTTGATTTGATTTGTTTTCTCTTTTCTCCTTTCCGGCTCAATTTTCCAACTCGTCTCATGCTGGTTGTACCTTTGCATAGACCGTCGTTCTGCTTCCCTTGCTTCTGGTTCTGTGTGCTGAACGATTTGAAAATCCACGTACGGAATGTCCAAAAGTTTTGAACACTTGGCAATTTCACAGAAGATTCTGGTTAATTGTTCACCACTACTGCACTTAGAAAATCCTACTGACGCCACTTAAATGTCCAAAATTCGGGAGAGCGTTTATTTTATTACACAAAAAGCGAAATAAAGTTTTATTCGGATAAGTCGATCCAAAGGCTGGAATAATTAAGAGCGTATTTTACAATTTGACAATCGGGTATATAAGACTTTTAATGCGAACAATTTTTATTCGGCATAGACATTTCTCTGCCTTCTCATCTTTAAAACGGTATCGAAAAAAATTAAAGGCGTGTTATTATTATTATTATTTATTGTTTGTTAGAATTTTTTATATAATTACTTATTTTCTTTTTATTTTGTTTATATTTCAATTTTCTATACTACGGGTTCTCTTGTTGTAAATTTTATTGTCAGAAAGGTGTGTAATATACAGATTAATTGTGTTGGGTTAATATTGAATAGCTAGCTGACTTAATTAGACCTCGCCTTTTGAGTAGACTTACAAGTAGTTTCGCTATAGTACTTACTTTGCAATAATAAATATTATTATTAATAAAAAAAAATAAAGAATTTTGAAAGAAATTCAAACAAAATTAGTAAGGTGTTAAAAAAATGTGTGTTTTATTTATCACCCTTAAGCCTAAGTATAATAAAAAATAATTTTAAATTTTATGATTTCATCGTTGGTTGTCGCTGTACAATTGCAATGGCAGGTGACAACGTAACTAAACCTGAGTGAGGCAAGCGTTCTGAACTTTATGGAGTCTATCTCTAGCATGCGATCGCACGGATATAATGAATAAGTCATATGGAGATAATTTAAGGTTAAAACTCATTTTTTAATGATTTGCAAAGGCTTTCAGTGCCAATATTATCAAAGGCTCTTCTATAGAATGAATCTTCAGTTATTTCAGTAAGCGCAGTGACAGTTCCAAAAGATTCAGGAAAACAGGACTACGTGTCCTGGATAAACTTGTCCTTGAATCTTTCATTTGTGCATGCATGGTTGTTTTTAAAACCTCGTATTGTCGTATCGTTTACTAATTTCCATGACTTGACGTTTTGTCAAACTCGAAACCCGTCATCAAAATTCGCAGTGATTTCATTTCGTTTCACCAAAATGCAACCTCAGGCTTCATCGGACCGCGTCCGGTTGCGTATCACAGTGTCGCCGTCCCATCCCCACAGTTCGCAGTCGTCGCAACCTAATATTCCGGAAAAACTTTTACGCCTGATGCGAAAATACAAATACAACTGGAGGATCGATCAGTTGTCTCGTCCGAAGCTACGCACCAGAAAATTTGTCGGTGGGTGATTAGATAATCTTTTACGTTTGCTTAGAGATGATAGACAACGATTCGGTGGAAATGCTGAGATATTGTCGAACTTCTGTTGTCTTTCTTCTTCTTAGAGTTCTTCACCTTCTATCGAAGGTTGAAAATCATCATTTACAACTAGTCTCTCATATTTCTTGGAACAAACTATATCTTGGTCCCCTCATTAGCTGGTCTGGGTATTCAAATTTCCTCTTGTTCATTGTTAGCAGAATCCGGCTTCCATCCCATCCCTTTGTTTGAGGTCCTTTCTGTCCACGATATCTTCAAAACCCTTCAGTAACACCAAGAGCTCAAACGCTAGCAGGTTATTGGCTTGTATCTGTTTTAGCGTCCATGCCCCCATACGATGTAAAAGGGTGGAGAATACGTAGCACTACGCAGTACCAAACGCAAGTGCCTGTTAGTACAGAACTTTTTAAGCCTGACAATCGTGCAGTTTCAATTCGTGCTTTTATTTCTTTGGTCTGATTCATGTTTGAAGTTATCCGGGTTACCAAGTACAATTTAGTTTTATTGAGTTTGATCTTTAGACCTTACTCATTGCAGCATGCATGCAATTTCGCTATTTATGATTATTATCCCTTCTCGCCAATGCTTTTTGGAACATGGCCTCACTGTAGACATTGAAGAGCAATTCGGTATATTGATCTTGCAGCCAGACTTTAGCTGTTTGATTCCAATACAGTGTTGATATTATGTTGATGCCGAGTGTGTCAATATTTTTAGTTGCTAGTTTTACATGTTGCACCTTATCCAACGCTTTCTCGAAGTCAATGAACCGTAGGTACATGTCATGTAGGTACTTGTCACCTACCTACCCGTCATTAAGGGTCTACAAATTTTAAAGCTAAGGCTCCTAGGCTTATATATATATATATATATATATATATATATATATATATATATATATATATATATATATATATATATATATATATATATATATATATATATATATATATATATGATGACACTATACTCCGGGATATCATCCGTTCGCTCGTTGAACTCCGACTGGAATCTTGCATCCGACTGGAATCCTGCAAATCCTGCATCCGACTGGAATCCTGCAGACGTTTCGCCAAAATCTCACTTGGCATCTTCAATGCTCGCGCTCCGAAAACACTTCGAACACTGGGCTTCGGAGTGGTGTTTTCGGAGCGCGAGCATTGAAGATGCCAAGTGAGATTTTGGCGAAACGTCTGCAGGATTCCAGTCGGATGCAGGATTTGCAGGATTCCAGTCGGATGCAAGATTCCAGTCGGAGTTCAACGAGCGAACGGATGATATCCCGGAGTATAGTGTCATCACATTTTTCCATCCGTGAATCAATACGTGAGAATATATATATATATATATATATATATATATATATATATATATATATATATATATATATATATATATATATATATATATATATATATATATATATATATATATATATATATATATATATATATATATATATATATATATATATATATATATATATATTGTCTATTTCCTATGTATTTTTTGAACTCTAACTTTTAAAGGTCTTTTAGTGTCTTCGTTTCGCACGTTCAAAGAGTATTTGGTAGATGTCGATAAACCTTGGATACAATCTTAATATTGTATTGTGTCCCTATTTGACTGTTCTTTTCTGAGATTCCCTTCACATATATGATTGTCGAGAGATAGAGAGAAAAAACCGCGGCTTTCTGTTTAAAACTTTGTAATGTTTTGTCAGTACGAAGCAAATCCTTTTTAATACTGCTTAACTCTAAATGGATTGATGTTTTTGAACTGCGTACTGTGCTCGCTCTGTTGCAGAGTGTCTGGATGATTTCGAATTCGGTTGCTTTAGAACCCTTAGTTTTAGGAATTGAAATATTGTTTGGTATGTGTAGGTTTCCTATATACAGAGCAAAATTTTGTTTTGAATTGAAATATATATAGTAGTGATTCCAATATTGCAATTTTTCTAAGTTCTAAGTTTTCGCACTTTGGCAAAAATTACCAAGACGCTATGCAACAGCATTTGAATTACATGCTACAGGGTGTTCAAAATAAACGAGTGTATTTGGACCAATTTAAATTGAAATATTCTGCTTTACTAGAATGGCAATATGTAAAACAAAACATCAGGCGGGGTTGTGTCATTTAACTGTTGACTGAAGCTAGTCAGAGCATGACTGAAACTGAAGAAGCCAACAGCCAACGTTAGCTACTTCGAGTCAACAAAAACCGACGCAGGAGTTTTATAAAAACTTAAATAATATTATTTAAAAACTTTTACGTTTACCACCCCTGTACTGGATGACGCTTACAAAACAGCAAACAAAACTAACCGAAACTTAAAAAAAAAGGCGACAATCTTTTAGTAATTCTGGAAAATCTGTCCTTCGCACGATATATGTACAGTCGAAACTCGATACAGCGAAATTGAAGGGACTGCGTTTTTTTTTTCGTTAAAAGAGTTATAGGGGCATCTTTCCCATAATACATAAAAAATTTCTCTAGCAGCTTAATTGAACATGGAGCCTGTTGAATGGTTGGTGGTGATCCCAGATCAACTTCTTCATCTTCTTTTTCCTCTCGAAATTGTTGTGGCTGGCGATCTTCCAAGTCCTGTTCGCATTCTGTCTCGATAATAAGTCCTCCATGACGATAAGAGTCTTGAATTGTTTCTGCTGTCAGCTCTTTCCAAGCTTTACTAATAAAGTTGACTGCATCTAGCATATTAATGGAAAATTTGTCTTCGGACTAGATCATTTCCATTAAAATCGACTCTTAAGACTTTACATTACGCTCTGGTCCATCAGCTAAAATACACTTATTGTTTCGGCTGGAAGAAATGCCAATTCAATATTCGGCACATTTGGAATATGGGTATGTGCAGGGCAGTTATCTAAGAGAAGTAATATTTTCCTCCCCTTTAATTCTGCATCCCATTTCCGTATCTCCTCTTCAAAAATTGGCGATGTCATCCATACAGACTTGTTTGCCACGTCTTCTCCAGCCAATCGTTAGTGACGTTTCTGTCGACATCACGGGCTTCACTACTTATCTGTCCATAATTTATACCATGTCTCTGTTTGAACGACCCCACCCATCCATCCGAAGCATTGAAATCGATAATGCCACGCCGTTCAGCAAACTTTTCTGCTTTTAGTTTTACGATAGGTCCAGAGAGTGGTATATTTTTAAGACGTTGCTGTTGGAACCACTGCAACATTGCCCGATCCAAATCTTCAAATTTTGGCTCTCTTAGTTTTTTACTAGAACTGTCTGCCGCTTCAACCTGAATGATTTTTTCTTTGCACTTCCAAATCGTGGATAGAGTCGACAGTGTAAGTGCGTTTCAATTTTCTTTTCTCCCCGTTCTATCTCGGGAATTAAAGCAACTTTATTATCTAGAGATAAATTTTTTCGCTTACACGCCATGTTCGCCGTATTCACTAAGTCAAATTAGAACTGATTGAAACAATGGTGTGCTTTTATACATACCGATAAAGGCATTAACATAATCGCTTATTACGAGAAAAACACTTAGGACGACCAGGTTCTCAGTAATTAGATTATTAGAGTAAGGAATTCTGAGACTCTATTAATAATAAATCGGTCTACATTCCTTACTTTGTTACCTGATGTGCCCTTTTTTATTTCGGTATATAGAGTGAGTTAATACATAGCTTTGTATGACTATCTAATGGTACGACCAATTTTGTTCGTAATACAGAGTTTCACTATAGGGAATCTCTATTAATTACAAGTCGGTCTATATTCCTTATTTTGTTACCTGACGTGCCCTTTTTTCTTTCGGTATAGAGAGTGAGAAATTCGTTATAGAGAGTGGATTAAATACTTAGCTTTGTATGGAGACCTAATAGTACAACAAATTTTGTTCGTAATACAGAGTTTTACATTATACAGAGTTTCGCTATAGAGAATTTTCATCTACGAGATTCGTGTTTCAGGTCAACCTGATATTTTGCCGCTCAAGCGAAGGGACATTGCCATCAATGAAAAAACAAAATTTTTCGCCGATCACATGTCACGTCCGAAACTCAAAGACCTGTACGAAAACAAACGTTTGCACGGCCACAGGAAGCACTTGGCGGCTAAAATTGAAAAGAACATCGACAAAAGTTGGAATTCGATGTATAACTTTTACAAGAGAAAAGAGAGAGATAGGCGCGCGAGGCAATCAAAAAGGACAATCGAGAAGCCCAAAGTCGAAGTGAACTGGAAAAGGTTAGACGACTTGGCCAGGCCGAAGCTCGTGGTACAACCACAACCGTTGAAACGAAAAACCTCGAAAAGATTCAGTAATTACGATAGGCTGGACGATCTGGCCGCTCCCAAGCGTTACTTAATTGTCTCCCCCAAGAGTTTCGAGGTAAGCGGGTCGTAAAATCTTGACGTTTGAGTATTTCTGAACTGCAAAACAGTGGGAACATTAATAATAATAGCAAAAGGAATCATATAAGAAACAACAAACGACAAACATTGCCCGTTTCTGATTCTTTTTTTACATATTTTTTTCCAACAACGAGGTTATTAGAGATTATAGTTTCGCAAAAGGTGTAGAATAATAGATGATTAGGTAAAAAAAAAACAATTGCTTGTTACCTGTAGAAAGTACTTATTAATGGAAAGATTATCCTCATTCTAGTCTCATGTATATATAACATATTAATCCAATTTTATTAATAAAAATGGTCTCTTATACTTTTCGATAAATCGAACCATTTCAAAGATATTCTAGGTAAAAGCTTGAAGAATTTAAAGAAAAATACCTTTTCGATAGAAAAATAATTATCTTGAAATGATATCGATTATTCCTATATTGAATCTAATGCTCCACAAAAAAGGTTTCTTCTGGTTTATCGATTACTCGAACCATTTTGAAGATATCTGCATCAGAATCCTAATGGGTATTT